TACTTAAATATTTAATCTAATAATTGTTACACCATGTTTTGGAAATAAATAAATATTAATCTAATTCATATCAATAATAAATTATATTTATCATTAAAATATATTTATTTAATTCACTATTCATTTTTTGTAAGTTAAGAGAGAATTTCTAGATTTATGTTAATTTTCCATTAATACATAAATTCAGTAAATTATATATAAACTTTACAAAAATGATAATCATATATTAACAAAAATTTGATCTTATTTAATTTACTTAAATATTTAGCAAGTTAAATTAAGATCAAAAAAGTGTCTTTAAAGTATGTATAAAATCAATCTGGTTTAATCTCAATAATAGTAAATGTTCAAAGAGAATGAAAAAGAATTAAATTACCTAAAGAAATTTTATTTTTTTTAAGATTTATTATATAGATTTATGATATAATATTACTTATATACAGAATAAATTTATTGAAGGTTTTTAAAATTGTTCTTCTTATTATTATTGATTTTCAATAAATTGATATTGTTCTATACTTTGAAGGAATGGTAGATAATTTAAATGAACTTTTACAAATATTATATTTTAAATTTTGTAATTATCAAATGAATTAAATATGCCAAACTTTTGGTCATGATTAAAGGAAAATTCAATATATATGTTTACAGCCATAAGAAATATTATGGGCTTGTTCATAATGTTTCGAAGAAAATAAAGATCGATATGACTTCTAACCTATAAAAAATGTCTTAGAGATTTTGGAATAAACAATTAAAGAGGTCAGAAAAAATAATAGTCGAAAGTAAATAGATGAAATAAAAAATCTCTTTACAGAAGTTTAAAATTAAATAGTAGAGAAGTTTAATTAATCTATGCAATTTTTAAAAGAATCTTTTTAATTACAGTATGATGAATTACTTGGCTTTCTAAAGTTCTTTAACACATTTGAGATTGATTAATTAGATTCTGATCATTAAGAAAACTTAAAATACCTTCAAATTGTAGTACATTAAAAAGCATCATAGTAAACAATATTTGAAGTTTAAACAAACTTTAAGATTGAGAGACTAAACAATATAAAAAAAAAGATTATAGAGAATATGAAAGAATTATATGATTAAGAATTTGAATTGTATTTGGAGAGATTAAATATAAGATATAATCTACCAAATGAATTTAGGGAGTAAATAAAAAAACTTTAGATACCAGAAGAATACCTAATGAATGATAATCTTAAAATTTAATATTGTTTCAATTTAAAAAAAGATAATAATATATGCTACAATGGTTAATTATATAATGATTAGTTATAAGGAATAGGGTTATTAGAAGTAGAAGATAGAAAGATAATTTATTATGGAGCATTTATTGATGGCCATTTTACTAATGGAATAAAATGCAAAATAGAAGAGAATTAATTGTTTTTAGGATCTTTTCAATATATAAGTGAATATGAATATCAGATTGCTCATAATGGAACATTAATATAGGCAAACAGAATGAGGTATTAGGGATATATTTATAAAAAGATATGATGGAAATTTTGAAAATGAAATTCAGAATGGATAAGGAATATGTCATTATAAAAATAAAGATTAGTAACTTTATTAATAATATAAAAGTTATTGTGGAGGTTGGAAAAATGGTTTATATGAAGGAAAAGGATAATTAAATAGTGAAGATTATGGATAGTAAATATAATATGATAAATAGAATTGAAGGAGAATTCAAAAATGGAAAATTAAATGGTTAAGCAATTTTTTAAAATGCTAAAATTAAGTATGAAATTATATATATATTTTTGATATGAAGGTGAATATAGAGACAATCTGATGCATGGATAGGGAATTTTAGAAGATTTTTTAAATAAAACTAAATATATAGGGTAATTTAAGGATGGATAAAAAGATGGAGAAGGAATCTTTAAAATATCAGATTAACAAGAGTATTTATAATTAATAAATAGGATTGAAGGTACATTCAGGAATGATTAACCATCTGGAAAATGTAAAGAAAGGATTTGTTAAGTTGTTGTTGAAAATCTTAAAAAGAATCTAATAGAGACATTAGAAGAAGGAGAATACAATAATGGAATTAAAACAGGAGTTTTTAGTTCAATTACCACTTCTAATGATTTAATAATTTAGTAATACACTATTTCATTATAATAAAGGAAAACCAAATATTATGAAAATGGTCAATTAATATATGAAGAGGAGGATGATTCATGATTTTATAATTAAATAATTTCTAATATAAAAATAAATGATATTTAGTTAATATTGTTAAATTAAATTGGGAAAATAAAAAGTATGACAATTTCAATAGAATTAATAATCCATATATTATTTTGCTTAAAAAACAATCACTTACCTATTCATAATGATTTCTATTACTGGCCTCCCATAAGTAAGTTATTAATTTATTAAAGAATGTCAATGAAGAAATGTTATATGATATATTTCGATTGTATGGAAAACTCTTAGAAGTAAAGATTAATAAGGAATATTATGAATCTCATTGTGCTATAATTGAATTTGCAGATGAGATATCTGTTCATCAAATCTTATTTGAATAGAAAGAATTTAAAATTAATAATAACATTCTAAAAGTTTCACTTTATGATGAACATAATAATGATGAATTTAGAACTGTTTATTTATATGTAAATAACTTTCCATCAGACATTACTTAAGAATAATTGTCAATCTTTTTTGAATAATTTGGACCAGTTTTCAATTGTAAAATAAAATAATCAAAATAATCGAACCATAAATCATAATTGTAAATTAAATAAATCTAAAGTAGTTCTGGTTTTGTAGAATACTAGAGTTTCTAAACTACTCTTAAATTGATGGAAATTTATTTGAGATAACCTTTAAAAGTAAATGGAAAAATTCTAATTATCTAACCTTTTAAAGATAAGAATTAACCAAGAGCTTCAATCTAAATAATTATTTAGGGATTTTGTAGAAAATTGAATTAAGCAGAATCAAATATTTTTCAAATTTAAAGATTTGTTGAGTTGACATGGGAATTATTAATAGTAGAATATTTTAACTCAAGAAAATTACAAATGAAAAATTGTTTTGTCAAAATGAAAAATGATGAACCTATTATAATTTTGATATTTCCAACATTAAGTGATACCATCAAATTTATGAAATTAGCAGATTAAATTCATGGACATCCTTGTTTTTAGTAAGATATTGATCTAATTCCTAATATTTTTAAAAATTATTCTATTGATTCATCTTTATCATAAACATTTTAATAATTTTAAAAACTAAATTAATTACCATGTGAACAATTTAAATAGAGATCATATTAAGATTATTTTAGAGGAAATTTTTCTTAATTTAGATGTAGATATCATTTTAATTGTTAAGATTTTTATGATGATAGGATATTAGTTATTTCAAATTTAAAATAATCAGTAACAAAAGAATTAATGAATGAGTATTTTTTATAATTTGGTTTGATAAAATCAGTATTATTAAAAAACGATTAAGAAGATAAAACAAAGGATAAAACTAAAGTATGTTTTGCTTTGTCTCTCACTTCTTTTGATGCTTAATAAATATTGTAGGAATATGAAAATAAATAAGTAGGATTTCATTAAACAAAATTTAATATTTCAGATTCTCCAGTGAAAATTTATAAACTTAATTTTAAACATATTGAATATGAAAAGATACTAACTGAATTATATGAGCAATATTTACAAAAAAAAGAAGTTTAAATTACTATGAAGAAAATAATAGAAATTAAATCTAAAGAATATTTTAAAAGCTTTGATTAAATAATAGAAGAATTGGAATAATTTTAATAACTAAATTTACTTGATTAAAAGTATATTATCTAATAGTTAACTTATTAAATTGTTTCGGTTTAATCACATTTAAATTTAGTAGATTAAAAAAGAATATCATGTATTGATTAAATTTTTAAATATTAGGTTTAATAATTAATAAGTATTAGAAATTGGGATAGATATTTGAACTTTATAAAAATCCTATAAAATTTACATTAGAAATAGAAGAAGCAGAGAATAAAATAATCTTAGATTTGCATTCTGAAATTATTTAAAAATATAAGACTTTAGATTCTATAATGAATAATTTCGAAGTATTTTATTCATTAAAGGATGATTAAAAGATTAATATCATTAAATTTCTTATTAAAGAGCAAATCATTAAAGAAAAATAAATTACAGATAATGAAGCTAGTAAAATAACTAAATAAATAATGAAGAAATTCAATAACAAAATCTAAGATTTGATTTGTTTTTTAGAAGATAAAAAGGAATTTTCGAATGTTTTGAAAAATATGGATTGATATTTAACACATATATTTTATTAATAAATATGAATGCATAAAAATTTTATTATGGAGAAGATATTATTGAAAAAAGTAAAGAATACTAATTTGTGATATAAACAAACAAAAGTTTTGGACCTTAAAGTGAAAAAGAAAGAATTATTAGATAAATAACTAAAAATCCAACCTAGCCTAATCTAAGATCTTAAAATAGAGATTAAAAAAACATTACAGAATAAAATTCAGATTAAATTGGAGTTGAAAAATTACATAAAAAAAGAACCTTTTTATTGTAAAAATAACCTCAATAGCAAGACTATTCAGAAGATTTATTAACTTCTAAAATGAAAGTAATTAAAGTACCATTTAAAAAAATACATACATCTTGTGAAAATATTCCAATAAAGAATCAGAAAACTCATTCCCATATGAATAGTCTTGATCAAGAGAAATAATTTCTTAAGGCTCTCTTTTCTAAAGATATAAAGAAGGATGAGAAAGTAGTAAGATTGAGACTTAATAGATCTCAACTATAATTACATACATAAACTTAAAATTCTGAAATTTCATTAGAAAAAGGTTTAAAATATACAACATAATCATCTTTTAGAAGAGAAAGTTAAAAGGAATTAAAAGACAAAAAGTATTTTTATTTGATAAATTAGATAAACAGAGTATAAATAATACAGTTTTAAATAAGTATTGGCTTATGATTATATGATATAGATATATCGAAAATAAAATGCTCTTGAAAATCTACTAAACAATGTTAAATAATTTGTTGGATTCATGAATTTAACTTTTAATTTAACCAATTTACCTTTAAACATTAATGTAAAACTTTATTGTAATTTAGGGATTAGAATAAATGTTTAAAACACCTAAGTATTTACTAAAAACTCTTAAGCCTTTTATTCCTTAAAGTTTGGAGAAACTTTTATTTGAGGATTTTGAATGTCAAAAGTTTAGATAGCTTACTCTTTAATTCCAACTATTTTATATATTATTTTATTAATCTGAATTAATTGATATTGTTACAAATTCTCCTGTTAAGTTTATTATCAGATAACCTAAAGATTGTTAAGAATTATATCATCAAATAGAGAAGATACTTTTGAATTAGAATGTTCATTAATAGGATTTCTAAATAATTTAATAATTATTTGAAAAACAATATAATTAACCTTATGAATAATTATTAAATGAAGCTAAATCAAATTACAAATTATAAATTGAATATGAATATGTAAAACATTTATACTGTTTTTGTATCAAAGTGTAAGAAGCTTTATCTTAGAAAATATTACATGAAGGAAAAAAGAATCAAATATATGATAAAGGATTTGATTTTAAAACTGCTTTAAAAAAAATTAAATGCAAGGAAGTAAAATTAAATTCTATATCATAGATTAATCATGATAATTTATTTATGTAATTCATGCCACTAAAAAATTAGATAAACAATCAATTAGATGATTTTGAATCAAAATATGGTAGAATTAACACAATTTCAAATATTTAGAGAGAACATGCTAAATTAGCTGATATTAAACACAACTAACTTTATGAAAAGATTCTTAACTTATAAAAATAAATTGATTGAACTTCTTTATAGTAATACTAACTAACATTTTTAAGTAATTTATGTTTCGATTTTTGATTTAATTTTAAATATGTTTAAACGTTTGCCAATTATAAATCCAGGTTGTGATACAATCTTCAATGACTAAGAAACTAATGAAAATTTGAATTTTTTAACTCAACCAATTAAGAAAATATTTTTGAGTAATGAATTAACAATACCTCAAATATTTAGTAAAAGTAATTTATAGTAAGAACTTATTTACTTAAATATAGAACTCCATAAACTAAATAAATCTCTCTTAATAATTCAGAATAAAAATCATTCTAGAAATTCCAATCATAATTTACAAATGAAAATGACACTTCAATACAAATAAGCTAATATAAATCTAACATCCAAATCTTAAAATAAGGGTATATATAACTTATTTCATACATATACATCATCGTATACTATATTATAATTTAAATTTAAATATCATATTCAAAATATTAAAACCCTAATAAATTTTATTAAATTCAATATATTATAATAGGATTCAAGAAAATAAGCCTTGTAATTGTAGGAAAAGTAAATGTTTAAAATTATATTGTGATTGTTTTGCTGCAGGAAAATTATGTTCTTCAAAATGCAATTGTTGTGGATGCTTCAATAATAGTTCTAATATACATGAACGAAATTCTTATATTAAAATAATGATTGAAAAGAATCCTTAAGTTTTCAATTAAAAAGTTTAGGAAATTGAATAAAAATTAACTCATTCCAAAGTAAAAATTATTATTTAAATATTTAGGGATGTAATTGCAGAAAAAGTGGATGTTAAAAAAAATATTGTGAATGCTATTAAATGGGAATTGAATGTTCAGATAATTGTAAATGCAATGGATGTCTTAATTGTAGTTTAAATACATTCACAAAACAATAAGATACAAGTGATATATTATTGAGTTTAAATCGCAAACTTAATTTTTGAATAAAATTATCATCTATTTTTAATTAGATAAATAGATATTAGATAAAATCATTATTTAATTTTATCCAAAGAGATTCCTCTTATTTTTGTTGTTTCCATATTGTTTTATTGTATAAAATCTTTCTCTCTAATATTTTTTGTTGATGAACATAAATGGCCAAACTCTTTCTTGAATAAAATACTCTTAGATTCTTATTTCTTTTTATAATTTCCAGATAAAGATCTCTTGAATTTATAAGGTAATTCAGTCTAATAATAATACTTGATCTTACTTCTCTTAATTCTTAATCTTCTATTTCGAATGCTTATTTTTACTTTTCATTTAAAGACAAAACTTTCTTAATTGAATTTCGAGCTTAATCTAAAGATTATTCATAAGACATTGGTATTACAGTATCTTACTTAACTGATTTATGTGTTTTCTCTTACATAAAATTTAAAAGTGATATTCTAGATTATTTCTAAGCAGATTTTCTTTTATCTTAAGTTTTTTTTAAAAGATTTTCTGCTTATTCAGCAATTTATTGTGCCTATTCAATTTATTTAATTTCTTCCTAATCTATAAAATTTAATTTTTTCTTTGGAATAAAATTATCAGAAAACAATTTCTATTAAGCAATTCTAACTTATTTATTTTCTTATTAAGCTTTTAAATTTGTAACTGCCAAATCTTTATTGGTTTAAACAAAATCAAAATATTCAATAACATTAAATTCAAGTAATTTATTGAATTCATTTTCAGCTTATTTATCTTTAATTACAACACCTTAAGGACAAGTAATTTTCCTAGCTTACAATAAGCTTTTAGTAATAGGTACTTCTTTATGAACTTCAGCTTCTGCTTAACATATTTATTTGGCATTCTATTTTACTTCATCTAAAGATTAACATTTTTAATAGCTCACAAGATTTTAATTGATATAAGATTGAACAACTTTATCCAATGGTTAATAAACATCTAAATATATTTTTTAAATAAAAACTTTTATTGCTAATTTTAAATAGTAGTTCCTTCTGTAATCTACAATTTTTCTCAATATCATTTTCAATGTATTGTTTATCTTTTTCATCTGATCTAGATCCTTGATTTCTTAAATTAATTAATTCACTTAAAAAACTTTATCGATGATTAGAATTCACTTTTAAAGTTTTAATAAATTATGTTTTAGTAGATGAAGCATGTGATGTATCAATTTAAGTTAGATGACTTTAATCATTTTTGTTATTTGATAATTATAATTGACTATCATTATAATTTGTTGAAGGTTAATCTATTGAATGTTGAGAATAATTATGTTTAAGTTTAAAAATTTTAATTGATTAATTTTTTACAAAATATTAAGATTATTATTATTGTTATTGTAATTCATTATCTAAGTTAAATTATTATGGAACTTCTTTACATTTGATTAAAAAAGTTTAATTATTCTTTGCATATTAATACTTTTCAAATAGTTTATGTTCATATTATTAAATTTAACTTAATTATTATAGATTAATAGCAGATTTACTATGAGTTTGATGTTCTTTTACGGATATTTGTAATACATGAGAAAGCAATCTGCAAATTTCATTCATTTCATCAACATGATCTTAATAGTTTTCTTTTATTTCTGCACTCCTTGTTTCAAATTGGAAAGATACTTCCTTTGAAATTTTAAAATGTTCTAAAATTTTATTGAAATAAACAGCGATTTAAATTATTTCCAAACAACGATTATAACTAGATTAAAAGTCATTTACTACTTTTCCATTTGTTAATTAACAAAAGATTGTAATTAGAAATTTATTAAAATCTAACTGATTAATTTGGTTAATTATTCTTTAACCATATTAAGATCAATTTTGGTTTTCAATTTTTCAATTTCTCCTAAGATGGTATTAACAGCTTCCATTGTATATTCAATTGATTAAATATAATGTTAATCAGCCTTATTATATTCATCTTAATAAAAATATATAAAATATACATAACTCGAAATAAGCATTTCCGATTAATGTTTGTAATTGTCCTTTAAATAATGATTGTTTTGTATTATTGATTGTTGTATTACTAATGATTTAAACAATTAAATTAAGAAATATTGTAGCATAAGGAGTTCTATTATATTTATGAAAGAGATAAGTATTGCAAAGAGTTTCCATCAATAAAAAATAGCAATTTTCACATTGTGAACTAAACCAAATATGTGATTTTGGAATATAGTTACTAACAATGTCTTGGGAAAAGAACATTTCCATTTTAAGTGCTAGACTTATTTATTCTGCATATAGTTCTTTAAATAGTTATTTTTTTTTAATAGTTGGTGATGGAGATGCAATTGGTGAAGCATCTGTTTAATTATTTTCTTTGACATAGATTTCTAAGAAATCAATATAAAAAAGACTCAGTTCAATAGTGCGATTAAGTAAGGATTAAACTTTATGAGATTTTTCTGAAAACTTTTAGAAATATCTAAAAACATTATAATCAATATATACTTCTTTAATATTTTGTTACAACAATATAATAATCTTCTGCAAAGCTAAATTTGTAATTATAAAAATTATGGTTGTCCTCTAGCTAATTGAGGATCAAAGATCAATCTATTGATTTTTTATATGCATTATCTATATTAACCTTTTTTTATTAGATCAATAGTATCAAAGACTAGATATTCTCCTGAGATTATTGATTATTGTCTGATCATAAATTTTATTTATATAGGATAATTATAAAAATTGTATGAATTTTTTAGTTTCTAAATAATAACTATTTGAATCAAAGAAACAATGTAACATTTTTATTTTGAAATAAAGTTTATTTTCTTTTGAATGGATTTAAGTTATTATTAAGTTTACAATTAGAGAGATAGATGGTCTTTCCATTTAATTTTTATATTCTTCTTTCAATCATATCAATTGATTTTTCTGTACAATCATTACTAGATAAATTGAGAGTATGAATATCACTACGTTTAAGAAGTAAAGTGAGTAATTTATCAAATCCAATATCAGTGATTCTATTTTTACTCAATTTAAGTATTTCAATTTAAGAAGTAGATTATTAAATAAGTTTAATAAGTTCTTAAATATCGGAATCATTTAAATCTAAATAAATAATCCAAAATACTTTAATTGGTTAAATCTAATTTTTCAATAGGTAATCCTTTTAATAAAAATTCTTCAATACGATTGATACCTGTAGCTTCATAAAGTTTATTTGATGAAACAGGTCTTGAATTTTTAGAGTCTTTAGATCTTCTAATATCATGTTGTTTATCTCTAAAATTTATTTCTCTTAGATTCATTCTTTACTATGAAGATTCTTCCAAATGTTATGCATTTTTGGAGTATTAAAATGGTTTTGAAATAGACTTTACATTTCCTTAAAGTTTTGGACTACTACTATGAGTGAAAGAGAGAGATTCATTAGATCTATTTGAATTATTCATAAAATTAGAATCATTAAGAGTTTTTACTCTAATCTAGTTTCTATTTTATAATTGATTTCTTTATAAATTTTAGGGATTTTTTATAGTACAAAACTATGGTAGGTAATCGTAGATAGTAAGATCAAAATTTATTTGCATTTCTTTAATGATAATATCTTAGATAATTTAAGATTCTTATTTAACGAGATTACTAATGATTAATTCAGTTTGTTAAGTCAAATAATTCACTTAATCAAATTAAGTATTTAGTTTCTCATTAGAAAGAACTAACAATTATTCTATTCTAGCTACATATTAAGGAATGATATACCTTTCCTTTATAGACAAGATTTAAGAAATAATCTTTTTTTTTATAGAGATATTCATTTATTTAATAATCTCTTCTAATTTTAATGTTACTAAATTTAATTCATTTAAGAGTTGACTTTCAAAATTTCTAAGTTTCATTTAAAATTCTGAAAAATTCTGTTAAATTTGCTCAACTAAATAGTGTTTTTATTGAACTATCATTGTAGATGCTTCATTAAAATAAGTTTACTATTTTAATTCAAATTATTGGTAAGATTCTTATAATTATTAGAGACATTATTATAATTGTTCTCTACTCTACGGAAGTTGTTTCTTCTGATAAATCATATTAGTCTTATTAATAGAAACTGAATTGTCAGGTACATTAAAAAATAAGCGAGTTGTAGATTGAGTGACGGTCTCAGATTTAATAATTGAATAGTCTTATTGTAAATAATTAGCTGAAGGTACAATTCTATCAGAATGTTAGGCTTAGGGATACAATAATTCTTTATTGGTTTATAATTAATTCAGTGAATTGATCTTAATGCATTTCCTTTCAATACTGAAAATATTGTTTACATATCCTCAGGACAGATTATTTATTCGTTCTACAAAAGACGTTTAAGACATTTCAAACAAAAGGAATGTCCACAATCTAGAATTTTTGGAATGCATTAATTATCATCCCAAACACTGTAACACGATGTACAATAGTATCGATTGTATGCGCTCATATTAATTTAATTAATGTAATATATAATGATAAAATTTAGGTAAATGAATATAGGTAGTTGTTCGTATATTGAATTATTAATAAATATTAATAATTAAATAAACAATTAATATAAAATGCTAAGTTTTACGAGAAGTAAGAATTAAAAATGATAAACTTTTAGTGATAAGGAAAATGGATATTTTTGGGTAGCCAATAAATCTTAATCTTGATTTGAGATCTAAATACCAAACTTTCTTGGGAGGATTGGTTTCTTTGTTCATAGTCTTTTTATTGATTGGCTACAGTGTGAATGAGATAATAGGTTACACAATATCAAGAGGAATCTAAATAACGTAGGAAGTAGTATTGTGAAATAGTGAATAATAGACAAAATTTAATTATGATCCTGATGTACTTGTTCTTAACAATGAAAATTTCATCTTTGCAATAAGAGTGGAATAGGAAAGTTTCTATGAGTTGCCATAATTTGATATCCAAGTGAAATAATACCAAAATAATAATGAAGTTTAATTAGAGTTGCAACAATGTACTTTCAAATAATTCAGCAATGTATTGAACTCCATTCAAGTGGAGAGTTTCTTGGAAGCAAATTAAGTAGATACTTGGTTATGTCCAAAGTCGGAATTTTCCATATAGTTATAAGGAACATAATTTTGTAAGTTTTAAAATAGATTATAAAAAAGCTCCTTCATTCTCGAATATGGTGATTGAGATTAGTGAATGTAAAGAAAAGAGTTCATGGGGTAGAGAATGTCAATCAAGAATATAGAAAGACAGTTATAAATTATAAATGATTACCAAAAATACAGTATTTTTGTAAAGTGTATAACTTTTTAGTTTATCAATCCATTTAACAATGAATTCGTAGCAGAAGATTACTTAGACAATTCCATGAGTTTGTACTTCCAACCGGGAGATCTGTAGAGAATTGATTACCAATTTCATAAGCATGTAACCAAAGATTATCAGGGGCAAATTAAAATAGAGTAGAGATCCCAATAATCTTAGAGGATTACTAGATGAATAATAATTGAGCATCTTTTCCACCAATTCATTCAAATAGATTTATGAAGGCAAGAATACTGCTATCTGGTCTCGTATAGTATTTATGCGTAGTAATTTCTCCACTAATTATAATCGTGAATATTAGACAGTGACTGATCTATTATCTAAAATTGGAGGTTTGTCACAGTCTGTGATTTCGATTGTAGGAGTAATAATAACTTATTATAATAGAGCATAATGTAAATAATCACTACTATTTAGTTTATTTGGATATTTCCAATCGTCTTTATGATTATGATTTTAATGTTGATCATGAATAAGGAACTAAAGGTTCAGGATTAGTTGATGCTCTTCATTTAAGTATTTAAATTCACCAAGATTCTGCTTAACCTCTTAAGAAAAAGAGGAAAATATAAGATAATCCTGACCCTATTAAATAACCTGAATAGGATTCTATGGAAGAAGATCCTTAATTCAAAGAAAAGGTTTTAAAAGTAGTAGAGGAATAAAAACAAATCATGGATAAATATTAATTTAAAAGTAGGAAACATTTCTTACTTGCAACTTTCTAATAAACTATATTGATGAAGAAATCTATTTAACTTAATCTTAAATATTTCTTTTATAAAATCCTCTGTCGTAAATCAGATCCAAAATAAGATCCTTAATTGTTTGTTTTATAGAAGGCCTTGACTTCTGTTAGATAAGAATTAGATGTTTTTTCAATCTTAAATCGAGTTCATCAATTGGAAAAACTTAAAAAGATTCTCTTAGATAGAGATCAATTAATTCTTTTTAATTATTCTCCAAAACCAGTGATTGCCGTTAATGAAAAAGACAAAGAAACTGAATTTCTACACTATTCTAAATAACAATCTCTTAAACAAATGTCTTTGATTGAAGTGGCAGAGGATATTAAAAAATAATTAAAAACAACTTTCTTAACAAAAGAACATCTTAGTATTGAAAATGTGTTTAATTCTTATAAAGCAATAGCTGCTAAAAATAGAAAATCTAACCGTTATTATTATAAGATAAATAGAAAATTGAAACAATTCTTGGGAGATTAGGTAAAGGCTATCTTCAAAGCCTCTAAATTATTAAAGTTTCCTGAGGATGATTAGATTCCTGAGATGGGTATAATAGATATAATGTCAGTTGGAGGTGATACGGCAGCTTAATTGCCATTGAGTATGCGTCCATCTGTGAATATAAATTAACAATACTAATGATTATTAATATATATTAACGAATTAATATGTCTGTTATTTTCGAAGACATCGAGGTATTTATAGTAATATAGGCTAGAATTTACACTATCTGCAATTTCAATTTACGTAAGCTTTACGAATAGGCAAAATCATATATTACATAGGTACTACTTTGATCTAAGTTAGAGAATTCTTTGCTTCGTAAGGTGAGTATTGTTGAGAACAATTGCACAGATAGTGTTATTGTTTAAGCGGAAGTTACAATGATTTGTACAGATGGTAAATTGGTATACTCATTACTATGTAAGAATTCTTTAATAACAAGTTTAGAAAATGGAGACATCTATTAAATTGAATAACCACCTCGTCTACTCAAAGCAGGAAATCATTACAAATGGATATCTCCAATAGCTGCGATAGATCAATCTCATAGAGGGTTCCTCTGGAAATCCAATAAACAGATTTATAGTCATTGCAAACATATTTCCTCTTATTAGGACAAAATTACTTTGATCACCATTGGAGGTAAGATATTCAATGTGGTGAATGATTAAACAGTTCCTATACCATAACTTAATGGATTGAAATTGAATACTTATTTTAAGAAATCCATACTTTTCTCTTTTGGCGGAGTGGCTGTAACTGAAAGTGGAGAATTTTATCTATTTAATAAAAAAATGATAAGGGTTAAAATCAAAGATATTTAAGATATCTTTTCCACTGACAAGTACATCTTTGCTATTCAAAATAACAATACTATTTTACAATACTCAATTGAAGAAATCTCATAACATTAATTCTTTACGAATTAGTAGATCTTTTAGAAAATGCATTATTGCAATGATGTTGAATTTAAATATAAACTAAGATAATTTTCATAAATTTCTATCCTTCAATCAGAATACTCTCTAACTTCATTTGCATACATCAAAGAAAATAAGATATTAGACACCAGTCTTAATATTACTGAGAAGACTACTCATTAAGCTCATAATAAAAGCAGTGTTCTAATTATGAAGTAATCTTTATTTGATGATTGGGATTCCAAAAAGAAAATCTTGGATTCCAGAAGATCTACTACCATTGATAAATAGTAACCTTTATTAGAATCTTCTAATCAAAGTTCAACACTTACTTTAGCTTAAAAATTAGCAACCATTAGAGAGAGTTTGAATTTTGAAAAACCAATAATAACAAAACCTTAAATTGAAAATGATAAAATAGAACGCAATAGATAATAGAGTCTTATTCAATTACATTAAATTGTATGTGAAGATTTACCTCAAATTCCAACTCCAATCAAATTAGATCATCTTCTTAATAAAATTCATGTAAACAAACCAGAAAAACCCATTGATTAACTATTACTTATTTAAAACAAATAGGAATTATAAGATTCATTACCTACTTTTTAAAATGATAATCAATTTACGAATAATGATACTATTAACAAAAAGAAATCTAAATAAAATAATCCAACTACAAGATCAAATAAAAGATTAGATAGTATGTCAGCATAATCTGGTATTGATCTACAAAATAATAGTGAATTTATTTAATAACAAGATAGTTTTGTTGGTATTTTAGATAGTGATTCCATAAAAAAGGATCTTCCTTTATAATTATAACCTTTTGATAAATCTAATAAATATAAGAAAAATACTTTAGATACTATTTAATCGAATGATAATGAATAGGATCCAAAAACTACCAATAGATTATCAAACAAAAAGGATTTAGCACTTTAATTAAGTAATAGATCTCCTACCAAGAAAACCATCAAAGATCCTCTTCTTACTGATAGAAGTTCTGCTAAAAGAAATATTGAATAAGCAAAATAAGATTTAGAAACTTTGGTTAATATGATTAATAGATAAAAGGAAAATACTGAAACATTTAAATCTATTAATACTATTCATGTTAAATAAAAATAAAGTATAAGAATGAATTCTCCGCCAATACAAGTAGGATCTGCACTTAGTCGACCAGAAAGTAAAATTACTCCACTTAAAAATAGAAGGTCATCAGTTAATAGTGAAACTTCATAATAGGAATCTTTTAAAATGCCTTAAAGAATCTTAAAATAGAATATATCATCAAAATTAAATACTTAATAGTCATTTAATTCATCAAGTTAACATTCTTAATTCTAATTTGATTCTCATAACTTTAGATAATTGAATACTTTATAAGACTAAGAATCATAATTAGATTTAAAAAGTGCCAAAACACTTTTTGACTAATCACTCACTTAATAAGTTAAAAAAATTGATTAAATTAAAGAACTTAAGAAAGTTCAATGTTCATCATAAGTCAATATTTTGCGTAATAACAGTTTGAGTAAAAAAGCTAGTATCATTGTTAATAATTAGCAAAAACCAAAATTTAATTAAAGGAAATAAGAAGCGATCCTTAATAAATTATTCTTTCGATTAGACGTAAGGTTAAAACTATCTAAATTAGAGTTTGTCAATAATTTAAAATGCTTGATTTGAATCATACTTTTTATTTTATTATTCTATATATTTTATCCAAATAATCCTTTAAACATAATATTAATTAATCCCTAAATTAATTATTGGTTATTAAATAACAATGAAAATGAGATAATGAATTAATCCTTTGAATTTTTGTTGAAAAAAGTATATTTATTTATTTTGATATTAATTTAAACAATATTTAAGTGAATAATTTGTATATTTCTTAGATATTTAATTAAACATGTTTATATCCTAATTAACTTTATTATGTAATTTCATATTCTTAAAAATAGATGTTTGAAATCTAAATATAATTTAATGATTGTAAAATAACTTAGTAAATTAGTATCTAAAGATCTTATACACAATTAATTAGATTTGCAATATAAAAAGCTAATTTACTTTAATGATTGTAAATAGTATTAAATTAGCTATTCACCAATTTTTTGGATGACTTATTAATTTATTAATCTAATTTTTAGATGAACAAGAAAGTAAAATTGTTTAGAAAGATTAAAAAGAATCAAAACTATAAAATTAACCATTATATATTTTAAAGACATCATCATGATATAAATATTTTAAGAAGATTCATGTTTTGGAAAGAACAAATTAGGGTATTAAATATATATTAATAAATATATTTAAAAAAGTATGTATTCTTCACAACCGCAATTTTAAAACATAGTTTAAGTAAGAATAGATGAAAATGTAGTCACAAAGGGTGGTGAATGATGGTTTGATGGACTCAGTTTCAGAGATCAGATGGAATAAGGATGTATTTGTGACTTCATCATGGGATGGGAATATCCGGTTCTACTAAGTTTAACTTTAAGCTGGTTATAGAGCAAATATATAAGTAGATTATAAGGCAACAATTGATTGTTAGGAACCGTAAGTTTAGAAATAATAAATTAGAGTATTATCTGTAAGTTGGAAGTAAGATATGTCTATGGTATTTGCTGCATTAGCAGATAATACAATAAGAGCATATGATGTGAAAACATAAAATAATGCAATAATAGGGATCCATGATGATTGTCCAGCAAGACAAGTATTTTGGAATGAAGACATGAAATTAATAATATCATTAGGTTTGGATAAAAAGTTAAAATTTTGGAATTTATAATAAAGTGGTGGAACTAAACCATAACCAGCATTTTAAATAGATTTATAACATATACCTACAGTAGGTGAATAGAGTGGGAATGAATAATTCTTTGCATATGCAGATGTAGATAATAAATTTAGATGGTTACATTGGAGTGCATTAAGGGGAAATTAAAGTAGTGCATCTTCACGAAGTTTTTTTAATATGGAAGATAATTATTTAACAGGATAGATATCATGTGTAGCAATAAATGAAAATGCAACATAATTGGCATACGCAACAGTTGATGGAAGAGCTGTAGTTAAATCTATAAGTAGTAGAGGAGATTTATCAAGCAGACTTTAATTCAAATGTTATAAAGTAGATGAGGAAAATAGAGTATCATAATATAGAACAGAGAAAGTATCTAAAATGTATATGTGTAATGCTTTTTAATTTAATTGTCGATCTTCTAATTGGGTTGGTACTTGTGGATCTGATGGTACATTAGCATTTTGGGATATTAGCAAGAAAAATAAGATAATGGGTGTTAAATTAGATGGTCCAGCAATTGCAGGTTAAGTTTCATAAGATGGATAGATATTTGCATATGCAACTGGTTATGATTGGGCTCAAGGTTTAGATAAAGTTGGAGAGTTTACAAATAGAATTGGAGCTGCTTATATTGAGGAAAAGTTAATACCTTCATATTGATAATATTAAATATACTATAATTTATTTAATTTAACGGGGTATTTATATTCATTTTTAAATAATATTATTAAAATGATTAAAAAGATACTAACACTTCTATTCTTAATAGTGGTTGTTACTTCCAAAGTAGATATTCATAGGGTTGAGACTGTTATTCAACAGGCTAGAGAAATCTGCTGGAATGAATTAACAGATAATGAATGGGTATATCCTACTTATTTGGGTACTCTCTTCTTAAGTGAATACTATTTTGAACTCAAGGCCCTTAACATTTAGAATTCATAATTTCAATAAGACAAATTCACATAAATCTTGCTTGATTCACAACTACCAGATGGCTCTTGGGTCTAAGTTGAGGATGCCTTCATTTAAACTGGGTAATTAGATGCCACCATTTTTAATTATTGGTATTTGAAAGCTGTTGGTATCGATATTCATACAGAAACTATGTAAAAAGCTTAAAATTGGATTAAAGCTCGTGGAGGAATAGAAAAAGCCTAAACCATGACCAAATTTAAGTTAGCTATGTTTGGATAATATCCCTGGAAGAAATTGTTCAAAATTCCATTAATATTATTTTATAAAAAGTTTAATCCATTTTACATCAAAGACATTACTGCACAATGGGTTTATCCTCATATGACTGCTCTAGCCTATTTATAGAACTAAAGGATAGTTTTTAATGTTGCTGTTAATATTAGTGAATTGTATAAGAATAAACCACCCAAAATTAAGAATCATTAGAAAAAGGGAAGACCTTCATTCTTTATTAATAATCTTGTTAAAGAAATGTTGAAATTACGATAGCCTATGGGTAGTTTTGGAGGCTATACTGTTTCTACACTCTTATCTATGTTGGCTTTACATGATTATACCAATAGAACAAACAAGTTTAAGACTGAGATTAATGATGCTTTAAAAATGGGATTTGATTTTGTTGAATTTAATTATTTCAATTTTAGATAAGCATATCATGGTAGTTTAGATGATGGAAGATGGTGGGATACTATTTTGATCTCTTGGGCTATGTTAGAATCTGGTGAAGATAAAGAAAAACTAAGACCTATTGTTTAAAATATGTTGGAAAAAGGAGTTTAACCAAATGGTGGTATCGAATATGGTTATGATTTTGGTTATGCTCCTGATGCTGATGATACTGGTTTATTATTGTAAGTATTATCATATTATGGAAATGATTATTCTTACGCTATGGATAAGGGTGCAGAATTCGTTTTGAGTGTTTAGAATGTAGATGGTGGATTTCCAGCATTTGATAAGGATAAAATGGGAAAAAACCCTTTGTATAAATTTGCATTTAAAATTGCAGGGATAGCAGATTCAGCCGAAATATTTGATCCATCATCTCCAGATGTGACTGCCCATATATTAGAAGGTTTAATAAGTTCAGGTAGATGTAATTAAGAGGCAATGTTAAGATCATTGAAGTATTTAATGGAGAGTCAAGAAGGATTTGGTTCTTGGGAGGGAAGATGGGGTATAAACTACGTCTACGCAGCAGGGGCAGTATTACCAGCTCTAAAGAAGATGAAGTATTCATTAAGGGAGTAATGGGTGAGTAAGGCAGTTTATTGGTTGTTAAGTAAATAGAATGAAGATGGAGGATTTGGAGAGACAACGTTGAGTTATAATGATGCTAAGAAGTATAATGGGATAGGGGTATCGACAGTCACATAGACTTCATGGGGATTGTTAGGGTTATTAGCAGTAGAAGATGATTATGAAGTGGGGAATGCAATTGAGAGAGCGGTGGAGTTTTTATTAGATTCATTTGAGAGAGATGGTGAATTTAAGGATACATCGGTAGTTGGTACTGGTCATAGAGGGTTGTTATATTTGCAATATCCAAGTTATGCACGTTCATTTCCAATTATAGGATTGGGTCGTTATGTAAATCAATATAGATGAGATTATATATGTGATATAAAATTTTAATTTATGGAAATTTAACAAGGGGATCAATTGAGAGTGGCAGCAAAGCATCATATAGAGAGTTTTAATTACTTGTACACCCATGGTTTAGTTGAGATATGTCGACATCTTAGTCCAATAGAAGTTTGTGTACCTGGAAATCGAGAGATTCGGTTACCATTTAAGAATATGAAGATTTGGATTGAGGAACTATAAATAGGAATGCCAACATAATAAGGCATGTTGGGAGATAATAGGGTTTTCCCAAGTCAATGCAGATAAATGAAGAAGAGTTACACAGCTCCTATGTTGGCCACCATATGTAGAGAGATTGATGATAATTAAAAGGAGACAGTACGTTTATCTTTGGGAGAGATACCAATATTGGTGAAGAGTTAGAAGTGTCATTTAAATGGGCTGAACGCAGAAGGTATGAGTGATTTGGCTAAATGAAAGAATTGGTGCAATAGTAGGAGGATTGTAATGAGTTTGGAGGTTACTTTATAATAAATGGAAATGAGAAGATAATAAGAATGTTAATTATCTAGAAGAGGAACTACCCAATAGCATTTAAGAGACCTGGGTATAAAAATAAGGGATTTAACTTTTCACCTTATGCAGTATAGATGAAGTGTGTGAGATCAGATTAATATGCTAGAACAATAACTTTCCATTATTTGATGGATGGCAATGTTTATTTGAGAATAATTTTAAAAAAGAAGGAATTACAAATGCCAGTAATAATATTATTAAGAGCATTAACAGATATGAATGATTATTAGATATATTAATAGATAGTGCGTTCATAGGCAGATAAATCAGATATATCTGATAGAGTTGAAGTGATGATTGCTGATGCTAAATAAAGAGGAATAAATACTTAAAAGGATGCTCTTGAATATATTGGTAGATTATTAAGAGTGGAATTAAATATTTTTAATTGTGAGACAACAGATCTTTAAGTTGGTAGAATATTTTTGAGAGAACACATTTGTGTTCATCTAGAGAATGATTAAGATAAGGCTTCAATATTATTATTATGCATTGAAAAATTATACGCTTTATTTATTGATGAGATAAATGCTGACAATTTAGATTCTTTAGTAAATTAGGAAGTTCTATTGTCTGGACATCTATATACAGCATATTTGAGAGAGAAATTAGAAGATTTGTTAATTGGAGTAAGAGAAAAGATGTTAAAGGATGCTTCTAAAGAATAATCTAAGTTAAGAGATTTAGGATATTTTAAAAGATGTTTTGATTTATAAACAACAGTAGGTGAAAAATTAGAGAATTTTTTGGCTACTGGTAATTTGAGATCATAAACTGGGTTAGATCTAATGGAAGCCAGTGGATTTACAATAATAGCTGATAAATTAAATAATATGAGATTTCTTTCACATTTTAGATCTGTTCATCGAGGATCATATTTTGCTTAGATGAAAACAACAACTGTTCGTAAATTATTACCTGATGTTTGGGGATTTGTATGTCCTGTTCATACACCAGATGGAGGACCTTGTGGTTTACTTAATCATATAACAATGAGTTGTGTTCCACTTACACATCCAGATGAATAAGAAATAGAATCATTACTCTATCCTTTAGGTGTATAATGTGAAAGATTGATTTATTCTAAAAATGATTTACCAGTTCTATTAAATGGTAAATTGATTGGTTATTTAAATTCTCAATTGTTATCAACTTTTGAACATACTCTTAGAGTTTATAAGTCTAATGGAACAATTAAAGAAACTACTGAAGTTGCATGTTTACCTAGATAAGATAAAAAGTCTCCTCTCTTTCCCGGTGTGTACATTAATACAACAGTAGCTAGATTAATGAGACCAGTTATTAATTTAAAATTGAATTCTATTGAATGGATTAGTCCATTAGAATAAATTAATATGAGTATAGCTTGTACTTAAGCTGATATTCGTACTGATACTCAATATTAAGAAATTGATCCTGCTTATATTTTAAGTATTCTTGCATCAAATGTGCCATTTCTTAATTACAATTAAAGTCCAAGAAATATGTATTAATGTTAAATGGCTAAATAAACAATGGGATCTCCATGTCATAATTATCCTTATAGATTTGATAATAAAATGTATCGTATACTCTTTCCTTAAAAACCAGTTGTTAGATGTTTTGGTTATGATGATTATTAATTTGCCGATTATGCTAGTGGAACCAATGCAATTGTTGCAGTTATCAGTTATACTGGATATGATATGGAAGATGCTATGATATTGTGTAAATCTAGTTATGAGAGAGGATTCGGTCATGGTATTATTTATAAATCTACAGAGTATTCATTAAATGATGATAAGGAAGTCAAATATAAATTACTTAGTTAAATATCTATATAATTATATAATCAAGTTAAATCATAAATACCTGTAAATTTATTACCTTATGGATTACCAGAATAATCTTAAGTAGTTATTAAAGGTAATGCTGTGTTAGCTCTATATGATACACAATTGTAATAGGTGAAAGTTTATCTTTCTAAAGATAGTGAGAGTTCAAGAATTGAATAAGTGGCAGTTGTTAATAAGTCTGAAAATGATGTATCAGTAATGATCAAATATAGAATCAATCGTAATCCAATAATTGGTGATAAGTTTTCATCTCGTCATGGTTAAAAAGGTGTAATGTCATTGTTATGGCCATAAATTGATATGCCTTTCTCTGAATCTGGAATGGTACCTGATATTATTATTAATCCTCATGCTTTCCCTTCTAGAATGACTATTGGTATGTTAATTGAAAGTATGGCTGCTAAGGCTAATGTTTTATAAGGAGAAATGTTTGAGACACATCCATTCTAAAATTATGAAAATGACAATGTTGTTGATTACTTTGGCAAACAATTAATTAAACATGGGTTCAATTATCATGGAAATGAAACCTTATATTCTGGTATTTATGGAACTCCTCTCAAAGTTGATATCTATTTTGGAGTTGTCTATTATTAGAGATTAAGACATATGGTTTCAGATAAATCTTAAGCTAGAAGTATGGGACCTGTTGATGTACTTACCTAATAACCAATCAAAGGTAGAAAAAAAGGAGGTGGTATTAGACTTGGAGAAATGGAAAGAGATGCTCTCATTGCACATGGTGTTGCTTATTGTATTAATGATCGTCTATTAAAATGTTCAGATTATTCAGAAAGTATTTAATCATTTCGATCTTTTTAGCTTATATATGTGACAAATGTGGTAATATGTTAGCTACTTATTAATTTGTCTAATTGTTATCTCTAGAAAATATTTAATCTGTCTAGAGTTCTCATCCTTATTGTGTTAAATGCAAATAATCTAAGTGTTCCAAAGTTGCTATACCATTTGTACTCCGATATCTTGTAAATGAATTAGCAGCTATGAATGTTAAATTATAATTTTCTGTTGCTAGATCATGATTGATTGTTCATATTATTATTATTATTTTATTTATTTTAAAATTAAATTATTTTTTATATTTACAAAAAGATTACATCAAATTAAACAGATACTCTTTAATTCAGTTTACTCTATTAATTTATTTACTTTCTTTACTTTATTACTCTATTTACTTTATTTACTCTACAATCTAAATCATAATGATAATTATTTAATTTATAAGAATGATTTAATGTATCAATTATATTAAAGAAATCATTAAATACACTCATAATTCTAATCAAATAGAAAGAAAGAGAATTATATCACAATATTTCACTAATTTTTATTATATTTATCAATCGTTAATTCGTAACTATACTATTATTAAATTGCTCTATTATGTATTCCAGGTTCTATCCCAGAATATAATTATTTTATTTCTCTTTTTACAATCCCATAAAAATTTATCGATAACAAGATCATTATTGATGGTAATAAATTATCTATTAATATTTAAATTATTTCATTCTTTTCTTATAATAAACTCAAACCTACTCCAATTACATAACTTAAAAAACATAAAAAAAATAATATTGAATGCGATCTTGTTTATTTACTAAAATATCTTGTGTATGTTAACAATGAACAAGGAAGCATTAATTCTAATAAAGTTATACTAGAACATGTTAATTTTGGATTCTCTAGAAAAAATGTATTTGGAAAATATAATTTAGGATATTCTATCTAAAATTAATACTAAATAAAAAATGACATTCCAAGAATAAAACAATAGACTGATAGTAATTACTAAAGATTATAAAACTTCATAAACTAAATTTATCAAATATATAAATACTCTTATTAATTAGAATAGCAAGCAAACAGAACTAAAACTTCTTAAAACCCAATTATCTGTCATAATTAGAAAAAAAGTGTATAGAAATTGTAACAAATAAGTAAATAAATTTATTACTTTTACTCTTCCATATAAAGGTAGTTTAACATAAGGTGAAATAGATGATGATACTATAAATATCAAAAGATCTGTCATTGCTATTTATACACAAACAAAATATATCCCATATATTGGAATCTCTAATAAGGATATTTCACCCAACATATTTAAAGCTATTAATAATCCAATCACAAAAAACATATACAAAACTATTCTGAATTTTAAATTAGTCTCTTTTCCTTTTGTAGAAATTATCTAAGTTGAACCAGATGTTGTACGAAAATCTCCTATTTTTATCATTTATTCAGGTTATGAATATTAAGGAGAATATATCTATCTTGCTTTATAAAATGAATCACTTGATTCTAATTCATCAATTTATTACTCTGCTTATACTTATTTTAATTTGAATCTCTTCTATCCATAAATCGATCCAATATATGTTAAAATTATTGATATTGCTGTCAATATTAAATCAGGGTAATTATGATAGTAGAGTCTCTCTTCACAAATCTTAATATATCTAAAATTTAATATAGTCTTTCCATATCGAACATGTAATTCTACATAAGCCCAACCTTAATAGCATTCATAAATTATTTTGTATTCTTATATTGTACTACCTTCTATTGTTATCTCTTATTATTCCACTTAATTTGTCACATTTATTAATTACATATCTCGAGGTCTTAGTGATATTGGAATAATGCTCAAATTTAAAGCATTTGAATGCAAATTTTAAATATAAAATATTCTGCTATCCTTTTTATATTCCTCTTCAAATAAATCTTATGGATGACATTGATACTATTCTTACACACTAAATTTATGATTTTACACCTAATTTTCATATATTGAAATATTTTCCCCTCTAATTGTGGTTAATATATTAAATTGAGCTTAGCATTAATAGATGAATAATAAAACAAACATTATATAAAAATCAATTTATAAAATAAATATTTACTTCTAGTGATGATTCGATCTCCAACAAATAAATTCTGTACTTCAAAATTAATTAATTATTTTGAAAAGAACGAAAATATCACTCATCACATATTATAAACAGCTTTATTTTAGTAACATAATAAATTTATTCATCTAAATTATATACTATACTATTACAATATCAAAATAAATGCTTGATATAACTCATTTATAATATTAATTAATGTCTAATCAAGTATTTATTATAATATTTTTTTATTTACTTACCTTAAAAAGTTTTACTTTTTTTCATCAAACAATTCTTCATATCTTAATCTTAAATAACATTGATTATAGGAAATACAACTTAATTATTTGAATTTATCCCCTTACCTTATTTTTTTACCTTTTTCTTCCAAACAAATATTTTTTCACTTACTAGTCTTATCTTTCTTATCTTTGCCTATAAAATAAGCAATCTCTTTCACTTATTCTTACCAAATTTTCATTATATAATTGACAATAATAACAATGATACATGATACATTGATTTTCTTTTCAATAAAAGTATTTATTTTGATTGTTTTTTTACATTGTTTTATAATTTATCTTTTAAACTCTTCTTTATATTTTCTTATTTAAATTTAAATTTTCAATAACATTCTTTGTAATAATTGATACTTTACTTTAATCGAAGAGTTATTTATTTTTAAGATTAAAATGGAATTATATTGAGAATTTAATAATTATATTCAGTATTTATCTCCTTCTTTAGCTTTTTTTCATATTTACCCCTTTAATTTTATATCAAAACTTCTTAATTTTATCATTTTTTCTTTTATAGAGGTTCGTTTTCTATTTTAGATATCTTTTATCATTTTTAATTTGTCTAACTTACACAATTTTTGAATAGGTAATTTTTTCAACTGTCACTTTGATTCAGAGAATAATTATATTCAATTTTAATTAATTAGTATGATCTAACTAAAATTCAAGTAATTGCTATATTCTTATCTAAATCATTTATTTTTCCTAAACTGTTTTTTAGATTATTTTTAGTATTCTGAATTTAGTTAATTAACATTTTTTTTTCTTTATCAGTTAAACTCAACTTTATTGAAAATTTCATAATGGTAAATAAATGTAAAATAATTGGTTTTATCTTAAAAGTTTTTTCATTAAGCTAATTAAAATCAATTGATATTATTCTAATTTTTTTTTCATACATCTTTTCTTTGTATCAATCGATATTTTCTTTTATAAATGATTCAATTAAAATTGTTTTTTCAATACAATAATCTAAGTGTTTGTCAATATTTTCGTTCTATTTTCTTAATTAATTGAAAATTAATATCCTTAAAATCTAGATAAAAAAAACAATATTTTTTAATTGGATATGATCTAATTTGATTTATGAGGGTTCATCGAATAAATACTTTCTTTCTATTAAATCGAAAGAAATTTCCTAAATTTTTGTTAGTTTTCTGCATAATATCTTAAATAACAAAACAATTCATATTTTCTCAATAATTTTCAGAAAAACAAGTTAATAAGAATTTTAAAATTTTGTTAAATTTTGTAAGATTATTTAATTTATCAAAATTGAAATATATAAAATTGAAAAAATCAACATTTATTTAAAAACAAAAAGAATGGGGCCAGAATGTTATAAATTTTAAAAATTAGAATTAGGATATAATCTAAAATTTTACAATAGAAAATAAAAAGTTGAAGAAATTTATATAATTAGTTCTAAGATATATAGTTTTTCTTGTTTGTATATAATATTAGTAAATAATAAATAAAATAAAAAAGTTCTTAGAGTATGATAGAATATTAGTGTATATAAAATGGTATGAGATAATTGGATTGAATATTTATGTTTTAGTAAGGTAAAAAAGTGAAAAAAAATAAATGGTATGTTTAATTCCTTGAAATAATTGTATTATGTCTGATTATATTTTATATCGAAGTGAATAATTTAATTAATGGACGAACAAGCATCATCTAGGAGATCTAGAAGGTAAATAGATTGTAATATAATTGAATAGTTTTTCATCTGCATCATCATCGGTTTCGAATTTGAGTAAGGACCGAAGTAGAAGTAATTCAAAAAAAAGAAATTTTAGAAATAAAAAGAAGTAAACAAAGAGAGTAAAACATACAGTAGAGTTTCCTTCACTTGATTAATAATTGATAAACTTTGAATAATTTTAAGAGTTATATGTATGAATAATATGAGAATGAAAATAATAGGTAAATAATGATATTCCAACAGAGAAATTAAGACTTCTTTATTAAACTTATGAGAGGAAGTGGGAAAATAAATAAAAGGAATTATTCTTTGATTAACATAAAGATGAACCTTGGATTTAAGATAAATATAATCCAGTAAATAGAAGAGAATTTTAAGAAGAACGTAATTAATTAGCATAGAATCGGTTCAATGAATTTTTAAAGTAATATAATATGGGAGGTTTTAATAATATAAATTTGACATTAAGTGAAATATAATTGATGGAACTATTTGAATTGAATGATCATTTCTATAATGATGATCCAGATGTACCATTTTGGGAATTTCAACTTAAAGGTGAGTAAAAATAAAAATAATTTAGAATCTGTTGATATAACAAAGGCTCCATTTTTTGGTTGTGATCCAAATTAGAATAGTGTATTTATAAAGAATGTGCCTTTACCTTTATCTAGAGCAGAAGTAGTGAAAGCACTTTCATAAATGAATGGTTATGTGAGTTTAACATTATCAGAGCCAAGCAAAATGTAGAATTATACTCGTATAGGATGGGTTAGTTTTGATGGAGAAGAATATTGTAATAATTGTGTAAATGATGAAAGTATTACAATTAAAGGACATGTATTGTAATTCTAAAAATAATAAGAAAAGAGGTAATGTATAAAATTAATTTCTTTGTTTAGAAAATTTGTAAGAATCTTCAAATCAGTTGAATATAATAAACTATTGAAAGATTTATAACATTAAAGAGAACTTATTAAAGTCTTAGATAAAGAAAAAGGAATAAGTGGTAATCCATTACTTGAAGGACCACTTAAAGATAGAGATGATCCAACATTTAATAGATAATTAGATATTCAAACTTTATATTTAAGAAGAATTCATAATTATTGTTATTGGAGTGGAGCTGAATTCTCTGATTATAGATTATTAGTTTCTAAAGTTGGTTATGTATGTTCAATTTATTTATTTATTTATAGCATTTCTTTAGATTAGATTCAAAAAAGAAATGTAATCTAGAATGGTAAGAAATTATTCAAGCTCTTTGTAATCGTAGAAGAGAAGAAAGTAATGATGAATTACCATTAAATGAATTAATTGATAATGAGATCATTCTCATGGGATTGAAATAAGGAAAAACTAGATAAAAAGATGCTTTTCCTTGTATCTTTTGTGAAAAGTAATTCTAAGGAGGATCCTATCTAATTAAACATATATCATCCAAACATGAAAAATAATATTGGGAACATTAACAATCTCTTCGTTAATAAGTTATTGATCAATAAATGGCTGCTAATCATAAAATTGAAAGAATAAGCAAAGCTACTATTCAAAGATAGATCTTTGTTAAAGGAGCTATTGATGAACTTTAATTATAAGAAACTAAGTATATTTACATTTCACTCTAGAGTACAATTACCTATTAACTTTGCTCCCAGAGTCTAATAAAGACAATATAAAGATCTTGATTCTATTGCTTAAGAAAAAACATAACCAGCTATTATGTTTTAAATACGCGAAACCAAAGTCAATTATAATGATATATGAATTAAACAAATTATTTACAAGCTATTCAAATTACAGAACAAATAGAATCTCATTAAACTCAAGCTATTTAACATTATGAACATGGCATGGTTTAATTAATGTATTCTTAGTTTGATTCCAGTCAATAAATTACTAATCCAAGTGCATTTAGAATTTAAAAAGCATAATATGGAATCTAAATTAATTCAGATGGAGAACTTACTATTGTCTAATTTCCTAATGATTCCTCATTCTCTATTGACAATCCTCTAAACGAAGACGACAGTTAAGAAGATCAAGAATTATTAGAAGATTCTGATCAATATATTTTTACCCCTAAAGAATTTGAACCAAATAAAGAATTCATGAATTGTTTAAACTAATACTTAAAAGTAGGAAACATTTTGAATAAAATCAAAAAATGATATATTAAACACCTTATTTCATATTTATGTATATAGATGTATTTATAAATCTGATTAAAAGCCTTAATTAATTTTTATAATGGATAGAGTCATTGAATTATTGAACTCAAAGAAAGTAGAATAATCTTATGAGAATAGAAGAATACTGTTTAATAATCCTACCTATAAACCTTATTTATTATTAACGTATAATGAATTCAGATAGTTGTTTAAAGTGGATGAGAATAATGTGACAAGATTTAATAAAATGATCATTTACACAGAAATGGATTATTATAATTACGTTTATAATTAAACTTGGGCATATAAATGGTATCCATTGCTTTTAAAATTTGCTTTAAATTGTATTCGTAGGAGATCAACAAGTATTACATTTTCCTTGATGTACTTATACAGTGTTGAAGTATTCTTAGAAAAATTGTGTCTATTTTAATACGTAGATGACAAAATAATAGATGCATCAGAATATTTCACTGCAGCACTTTCCAAAGAAAAAAGTAATCCTAATGAATAGCATAGATCTGTAAAAACAAAATGAGACTTTTGTTAAGTACAAGGAAATGATTTTAAAAGATATCTAAGATAAACATTATGTTGAAGAATATAAACCAAGAGATTGGATTCTTATGGGTAATAAATTTAATATCCATAATCCATACATACATTGGACAGAATCAAAAGATGCAAATGCAAATTAGATAATGAAAGAATTCTTTGTAAAGAACTTTTAATTACTTTAATTTTTTGATCGTCTAAATCGTTTTGCTTAGTTGATAAAAAATGAGGGATATATTGGTTTATAAAGAGAAACCAGAATATGTGTTTAGAATTTAATAAAACAAAGTAAACGATTAATATTGGAATTTCCTATATATAAAGAATATGTGCCATATTTGAATTCATATTATAAGATAGAAGAAATGTTATCAGTTCCATATATTGATTAAAGAAAACGATTTATATAATTAGATCATTATAAATTAATTGGAAGCAAAATAATAAATTTATTTAATTATTTAGTGTATGGAAGATGTGAGTTTGTAAGATATGAATTTAAATGGTTTGATCCAAATATATCTGCTAAGAAACCAATGTTAAGTACATTTAATTTAAATATATTAATTTAGGAGCTGAATCAGTTTGGTATGATATTGTACCTTTTGTTGTTTTAATGTTATTACCAACAAAAGTAATGGGAATTAGAAGAGCTGTAGGTAATGCTAAAAGATATGCTGATTATGCATCATCTTTGGGTACAAAAGTTAAATCGTAAACAATGGTCTGATGCTATTAAAAGTAATTTCTTTTTTTATTCATAATTATTATAAAAAAATTAAGAATTATTTATTTTTAAATCATGATTTTAACTCAAATCATCACTTAGATTATTTACAAATACTAATCCTTTATGGCAAATTTAGCTGATATTGATAGTTAACATTAATCTTAAGAACAATCAATTCTTTAAAATTACATTTATCCTATTTACCTAATTAATATATTACTACTCATGCAAACTATTTCTTTAATCTAAATTCCAATCATAGATTATATTTTGAATGTAGTATTATATCAATCCTCATCATATATTGTATTCATTTTTCATTTGATATTATTTGCAAGTATCATTACATTTATTTTATGTGATAAAATTAGTTTAAATTTTCTAATATTTTTTAGAATTTTACTCAAAAATTATGATAAAGTAGCCTTGATTCCATTCTAAATTCTTACGCTCAATCCTTTAAAGAATTAAATGGAAAAAATAATAATATAAGTGATAAATACAATGTTTATTTATTTGCTCAATTTAAATTAAAACTACCACTTTTAACCTATTAATTTTCTCCCAATTAATGCTAATAGGATATTCACTAAGTTTACATTAATCAAACCATTAATTATTCAATAGATTTTAATTTATCATAAATATTTCCATATTAATTAATATCTTCTATACTTTTTACTCTTTTACTGGTTTTGCACATTTCTTGAAACTATGATAGAATAATACAAATATCATAATGGATTTATAATTTATGAGTGTTGTATTCATACTCTTTCAATTACTCTAATATTTATGGAAATCTACCAATTTCATTTTAATCCATAATAATAATAGCTTTATTCATTTCTCATAATTTTCAGTGTAATTCTTTTTATATATTTTATTAGTTTTTATTCAATATAGTTTTATTAATCCAAAGTAGAATTGAAATGAACATCAAATTCTCATTTTAATCATTAACTTTTTATTAACTTTATCATTTTTCTTACTTACAAAAAACTAATGATACCTAAAAATTATTATAATTTAATATTTTCTAATAAATTCATCACAAAAATTGTAATGAATTAAAATGTTTATGCCACAATAATATAGTCATTTAATCAGATATAGAATTTTAAAAGATTATTTCCGTTTGTTTAAGAAATCTAATAAAAAATAGTTAGAATGAAACTCTAATTATGTTTTACTTGTCATATTTACATGATGTTACTAATAATCTAATACAAGCTTATTAATTAATTCTCACTCATAAACTTATCTTTAAAAATTATTATTATTATATAATACTTTTAATGTTGGAATCTAAAATTTAGAAACAAATAAATAAATAAATTTGTGAACTACATCATAAAAATAATTTTATAGAAGAAGTTAAAATATTGAATTATTAAGGGGTAATAGTTTAAAAGGAATTATAACTAGTAGTGGAATAAAAAATTCAATTGAATATTGGTCTAAAGGAAGGTAGAATAAATAATTTTTAATAATTATATTATAAATTACTAACTCTTAGAAATAGGATAAAAAAACTACTTAAACTTAGTAAAAATATGAAAATTTATAGAAATAATAATTTGAATAACATTTTTTCATTAAGAATCAGTTTACTACTTTCATATTTAACTTAAAATTTAAGAGAATAATATGAAACCTATTGTAAAATCAATGAATTAATTTAAATTGAAGCCTATCAAGATGATGATTATTTTACAAATATCTCTTTTACAACTAATAATGCGATTTCTTTAATCGCCAATTTCAAGAATAATGGTTAAATAACATAGAAAGTAACTGAAAAATAGAAAGCTTTCTTTGAATTAGATGATAATTTTATTTTGACAAATATTTCTTAACTTCTTCATCCATCTTTTAGATCTTGTCATAATTAATTAATGAATTCTTATTTGAATAAAGGTAAATCTAAATTTATTGGTAAATAAATTGATACTACAATAAGTCCTTTAAAAAATTATTTGATTTAGATAAAATTAATTTTATAGCCATATTTTCCAAGTCAAAAATTGAATCAACTTTAATTAATAGCTTATATCTGCAAAAATGAAATAGGTAATCATGCAATTTTGCATTTAGATTTATCCTATAGCATTATGGCTGTGAATAAAATATTTTAAAGATTTCTTGATTAATATCAACTCACTATTCATAAAATTAATTTATTTTAGATGATACCTACACTAAAGGAAAATTTAATGAAATTTCATTCTATAAATAATGAAAATAAATAACTTTATGTTTAAAATTAAATAATTTAGATATAAAACACATATTCAAATATAACTAATAATCAACATCAAAATCTTAATGTATAAAAATTGTTTAATAAAAATGAATAATTGAAATAATTAAATAATTTAACATCACAATCATATCATTCTGTTGCAATTGACGATACTAAGTAAATTGATTATGAGTTATCTATGTGTGCTATTTAATATGATTATGAAGAAGAGAAAGAGTATTATATTTATTACAAGTTAGTGATAGATTTAACATAATTTAATTAAGAACACAATGTAAATTAAGCATGTTTAATAGATCAAGATATAAATGAAAGAAGAGAAAAAATATAAAAGTATTTATTAACCATATTTTTAGAAAGAGTAATTCATTATCCAAAGAAAAACAAGATATTTTAAGATCGTTACATTCTAAAACAAGCACAATGAGTGCAATAAAATAAGGCGATGAACTTTTACAATAAATTTCATCATCTTAATTTCCTTCATGCATTACAAATTTCTTATTAGTATCAACATTAAATTTGCTTATTTCTAGTGCTTCTATGATTGTTATTTATTTTTTGTTAATATTAAAAAGGAATGAATAAGATGTATGCTTTAATAGATTATATTATGGGACAGAATTTCTTGATTATTATGGACTTATTTTGAAAGGAAGCAGACATACAGTTTTTTACAGAGATTTTCATAAATTTTTAAAGGATGAATAAAGCATAGACTTTTTTTAAGAAGTAGCACTTATAACAATTAGCGATAAAATCACATTCTCATTGAATCTTTACCAAAAAAATTGTTAATAACTTATTAGACTTTATGAAAATTATAAAACATATTTAGATAGTTATTAAGAGTAAAAGAAAATTAATTTCAAGTATGTCGATTATTTTATATCAAAGATATAAATATAATAAGTTGAAACTTAAGCCAAATATTATGAAATAATGAATTAATTGTTCTATTTGGCAATTAAAACATTTGGTGGAGATGCATCAATATATCTATCTGGATCTTAGGATACATTTCCTTAGATAAATACAAGATCAATTCTATTTTTGAATTTTAATGATGTCTGCGATCTTACTGCTCAATTTATAGAATCTTGTTTATAAAATAGTAAGGATTACAATAATTATTTTGACAATTAAGTTTAAGTAATCTTTATTATTATTTATACTGTTCTTTTTTTCATATTCATCTTATTACTTTATTTATTAAAGAATATTTAGAGGAAGTTGAGATAGATTTTATAGATTTATCTAAGATTAGATAATAGAGACATTGATTCTGATAATGATATATTGGAATATATAAACTAAAATATAAAAATAGAAGAATTTTGGTATAATACTAAATTTTTCAATAATTTTTATGAGAAATCTTAAGAAACTTAATTTCCATAAGAATCTAATTAGAAAACATTAAATTTAAAATTAGATGGTAAATTTATTTTAGAATATTATTATATAATACAGATATTTATTTTTGGATTTATCCTAATTTTTTTATTAACATTTTAGTTACAATATAATAATTATTCAGGTGAAATTAATCCAATTGTGAACTAAGCTTTGAGTGCTGTTTAAATAAGACTTAATTTTATTGAATTAATAAATAATTGGGATGTTTATAATCACAAAAGGTTCTATTAATAATTTTATAATAATGAAAGAGATAATGTGAACATGAACTAAAATATAAAAAGTGATAATTCTATTTTTTCTTTAATAGAAATAAATAGTACTGAATTGAATAGTAATATATTTTTAGCATCAAAAGAGCCCTTTACTAGTATAGTTGAGAATCTAGATAATTAATAGTAGGAAAGTCTTTTAATGAAGGATATATGTATATTTTTGAATTGTTCAATGAATAATGAGATATTTGAAAATAGAAGGTTGTCTGAATATTTGGTAAATTATTTTTCTGTCGGATTAATTTAACTTTATTAATAAACTATTTCAGTAGTGAGGAGTTTGGGATTGATAAATACAAATTAAATGAATAGTTTTTTTTTAGATTAAATTTATTCAAAAGAATACTTTATATATATATTTTGGGGTTTAGATGCTACTAATTATTAATTGAAATTATTTTCTGATTTTTTAATATCAATGGCAAAAGAGAAGCTCAATAAAGAAACGGATTTAATAATAAAAATGCTTATAGGAATAGGAATAATGATTTAATAGATAATCTTAATTTTGACATGTAGTATAGTATATTTTGTAATTAATAATAATAAAAATATAAAGTTTTGTTTAAGATTTATTCCTTTGAAGACATTAATGAATAAGAATATAATGAAATAGATAAAATTGATTATTTGATTGATGTTATTGTTTTGTTCATAAAATATAAAAATAATTCATTAGAATTTTGAAAGATAACTTTCATGCCATTGTTGGAATATTTTCATTTTAGCTAAGAGTTTCTCTTCAGGTAAAATCAAGATTGTCATTCTGAAATGATAAGTTCCTGGATATTGTAAGAATCCAGAGCCTGGAACAACAACTAATCCAGTTTCTTTAAGAAGATCTAAGCAATAAAGGACATCAGGTTCATAACCTAATTTCTTAGCATGTTGGATGTATTTATCTAAAAATTTACATGTATGATTGAAAATACCTGATAAATAGATTCTTGGGAAAGCATACATAGCACCTTCAATAGGTTAACAAGAAACACCTTTCGTTTAGTTAAGATATTGAGTAACTACAGCAGCCCTTCTTTATAAACTAGTAAAGAGAGATTTGCATTCATCATTATATTATTAAACAGTAGATTCAGTGCAACCTTCTTCAACTGTTGGTGGTGTTACCATTAATCCTGTCATCAATTAACCAACTGTATTTGAACATAACATTATTGCTAAATTAGTTATTTTATTATATACTTTTTGATTTATGAATTTGGAAATGAACTTCTGAATCAATTTTAGATGTAATTTCCATATATCCACCTCTTAAACCACATTCTCCAGTAATACCTTTAGAGATGGAATGGAATGAATAGATTTCGACATCCAAATTAAGTTCATTAGCTACTTTTCTAAAAGAGATAAACTTTTTTTTAGAGTCGTAGATATTTTCTTAATAGACTTCATCAGCAAATATAGTAATTTTTTTATCAGCTGCAAATCTAAAATATGAAGATAATATTGTACTTGATCATTTCAGCAATGCTTTATTTATCAAAGACTTATCCTGTAGGATTGCCTGGATTAATACATACTAAAATTCTTGGATTGATTCCATTTCTTCTTGCTTTTGAATATTATTCTAAAGAAATAATAATAAAAATTATAGGATACCTTCTAATTATTACTTTTCTGCTGACCAATTCTTATCTTCAACTAAATAATATGGTATTTATTATGCTCCACATTATGCAATGACAGCAGAATAGAGAGGATATTATGGAATAGGAATCATAACACCATCATTTTTATCTTTAAGTAATAAATTAAACATTAATGTAATGCCTGATGATGCACCATCAGTTAAAATAATATCATTAATTGAAGGTTTATTTTTGGTGGCATCTCTTTTTTAGATAAAACTAAATAAATATTAGTAAACAATTACTTAGCTATAGCTTCTCTTATGATTGGATATCCTGGAGATTAACTATAAGCACCAACTTAGAAACCAATTTTATCATTATAAAACTTCACTCTTCTTTATACATCTCCTGATTGATATTTTAAGATATTTGGATCCAACATAGATGATAAAACACTTCTATTAAATGTAATAGGTTTTTAACCAAATGTTTATGGATTACCTATATTCAACTCAGTAATTGAATCAAAAGGGTATTTTTTGCCTGAATTAATTTCTTCTTAAATTGTAGCTGCCATTGATGGTACTTATCCTCTTACAGCATATTATGCTTCTACAAAAAGAGGATTGATATCCTTTATTGTATTCCAATAAGCATATCTTATTGATTTTGATAATTATTTCATATTTTAATTAATCATTTGTATTCATATATTTACTTAAAATACTACAATTTTTTCAATTTTCTTCCCATTCTCTATGAATATATATTTAATCTATATTCAATAATTAAATTATTGTATCTCTTTCTAAATTCTTTTTCTAATTTTTTATGATCATGACAATTTATATGAGCATTCAATTCATATTCATTTTTACCAAATTATCGATCACATAATGAACAATTATAACATTCAATATCACTTTCCATCTCTTATTGAACATACATTTGATTCCATTCATAAAAATCTTCATCTTCTTCTTTACTTCTAGCATTTGCCGATATTCTCTTATACATCCTTAATTAATTATATATAAAAAACAACTCATTAAAAATTATTAAAACTATGTTTGAACTTCAATTTCATTTCTTCTCTCGCAATCTAATGATCTGTCTCTTCACATCTTAAAAATGGATGACTAAGTGCTTATTTAATATTTATTCTATATTAAGAATTATTCATAAGACTTTTTAAAAAGTTTGTTCCATGTGATGCAATACTTGGAAATACTCCATTTTCTAAATTTATTGTTTTTGGACTCAAACCATTCAAATATAATACTATCTTATGTAAATCAAAAATATCTGCTCCATCTAAATCTTCTAACACCCTAGCTTTGCTAAACCCTATCAATTTCAAAACATTGAATTTATCAAACATTAAATTACTTGGTCTAATTTAACCATGGAGTATTAATTTATTATTCATATCATCTAAAATATTTAAGATTTCTTTTATTATAATTTAATTCTCTTCATGAGTATAATCTTAATCAAGCTTATGTCTCATATATTCCATAATCATGTAATAATTATGTGATGATTCATATACTTCTATTAAATTTACTACATGTTTATTCTCTTTTAACATTCTTAAAATTTTCACCTCATTCAAAAATTAAAATTCATTTTCTCTTATCTCTTTTTTATATGCCTTACAAAAATACTTCTCCCCATTCACTAATGATTTTACTATCATTAACTAATGTTATCATCTAATATCTATACTTTCTTTTATTCATTCTCTTTCAATACTAAACTTTATTCATATATTTCTGCTGCACCTAAATACATTACTCGACAATCCAATAAGTTTTTCAATTTTTCTAGATTTTCTCTTTAACCCTTTAATTAATTATTCTAAAATTGAGCCTCCTTAATTTGACCATCAACGTATACCCATTAAATATGAAGATTCAGTGAAATGTAAAATTTTAGATTTTCATTTTTAGTCTTTACTTCTAAATTATGCTAATCACAGATTAGATAGGCTGGCATATTATTTAAAACACATTCAAATTTAAGATTCTCATTCATGATTTATAACTTTATTTAATTTACTCAAATATTAAGAAAACATTGTCTATAAAAATTATAATATAATGAATTAAAGAGAGTTTAATAATTAAATCATTATTATTTTTTAAATTAAGAACCCGTCTTTGACTATAAAGTTAAAGATTCTGTCACCTCTGTAATCAACTTAGGATTTGGACATTTTTTGATTATTAAATTGGTTTCACAAAAGATATTTCGAATATAATCATGTTTCATTGCATCTTCGAAACTAAATCTATAATCATGATTAGGATTCATTAAACCTACAATAAATTCATTTCCCTTATCAGCTATTATTGGAAGAGAATTAAAACTATCATTAACACCATACCTAAATATTATTATCTATAAAAAAATACAAATTCATCATTATACTTCCTATGTTTGCTAAATAATTTTCTACATCTATTTCATTTGTTTATTAAGCACAACAAAATCCAACTAATTTTAGATTACCTTTCTTATCTAACATTAAATTCGATAACTTAATTTTTGAATAATAAATTTTATTCTATATCAATATTTTAACAATCTTTAATAATTCCTTCATTAAATCATAAATTAATACAAATATAATTATTTAAATTTCCTCATGCATTAGATCTACATTTAAATGTTTAAACATCATTTCTTAAACTATATAGATATGAGTTTTTGATTCATATATTTCATAAATCTTTGGAAAACATGAATATTGTTATAACTTGTACAATATCATTATTTATTTATGTACTTATTCAATTTCATATGCATCTTTACGCATAGCTTTACAACAGACTTAGGTTTTGGTGAATCTTTCCTTAAGTTGACAAACCTAAATAGATGTTATAAATCTACTTTACTGTTTTGTTTAGTGGAAAGTAACTCTTAGGTTTCATAAATATTTTATATTCCTAAGTATATTACTCTTCCATCAAGATGTTCCTTTAATTGAAAAAGATCATCCTAATTTGCCAGAATGAGTAAATCTTTTACTAAGAGAGATAATATTCTATTCTCATATATTTCCCATCTTATTCTGATTTTGAAATCAATAGCAATTTCCATAAGAAATTAAGGGCCTTTAATTTCAATAGAATCATCATAGAGAGTAAATATGTGTGATATTGAAGAGATCTAACAATCGAAATAAAGTATTGTTAACATATATTAAAAATTTAATGTTATATAATTTGATGGATGATAATTATATTAAATTTATCCTGTAAATATTGAAGGTAAAAGATGACGCAAAAATGATAGAAGATGATAAAATATAATAGTATGATTAATGAAATGATTTAGGTTTATAAATAAATAAATTATTGATTTGAAAAGATAGATAAGAAGTAATTAGTTATATGTAAAATGAAAAAGTTAATAAAATGATATACTATTTGATATGATCATTAGGGTTACTTTTTAAGTGAGGCAGCAAATTCTCTTGCTTTTTTCAAGTATTCTTAACGATTATTTCTAATAATAATAAAATGAAGTAGAATAACTTATATTAATTGCATGGTTCATATTAAGCAGGGCTTTCAATATTGGGTTCATCTTTAAGTAGTTTTTAGATACCAAGTAATATTTGTTTAACAGTAATACTAGATTTCCAATCTTCTTCTTCATTAAGAATAGATAGACAAACAGTTCCAGAAGGATAAACATTTGGATGTGGTAAGACAGGTTTGAATTAACATTTAGGTGGTTTCATAGGATAATCATGTGAGAAATCCATATGTAATGTATAGGTACCTTCTTCCCATGGACACTAATTTATATAGAAAGTATATTTATACTCCTTATGGTCCTGGTATTTCACATACCCATTTAAGTAAATCAACAGTACCATCTTCTTTAGTTGTAGGTTTAGCAACAAATCCATGTGGATGATCTGTTCTCCATGATCTACGTTCTGCTTTTAATCTGGTGATAACTAATTCACTAACTTCTTTTGACATTTATTTTAAGTGATTTTTATTAATGTAAAATAAATAATTAATTAATGCTTTTTTGTTTGGCTTCAAAATTTGTATATAATATTTGTTAATATTAAAAATAATTAAATCTAAAAATTCATTAGTAATTTTTAAGGAACTTTTTAAGTCTTTCATTTGAAACAGATTAACGAATGTAATTCATTTCATTAAAGAACAGTCTTTTCTCTACTGGAGTAAGTCTTTATCTTTTATCATTAATGACACTAATTAAGAGGAAATGTATACAAGGCCTTAATATTATGTCTATTTGGTGGTTGTATGTATGAATCATTCAAAGTAGGTAAACGTAAACCTTCATTAAATCCTTTTCGAGTTTATTTCTCTTTATAAACTCTATTTAACAATTATTTTTTATATTTTTCCCATTAATCTTTTTCAATAATCATTTCTCTTAATTCTGATGGTTCTGGATATGTTTATAATTTAACTATATATTAATCTAACAAATCTGAAGGTACTATTTTTTTAATATCAAATAAACTAAGTGTAATAATTTCAGATTCAATAGCTGTCATGTATGTATATTTAGATTTCTCTTATTTGAGCATAGCAAAATCTCCAAATATCTCACCTTCACCAAGTTCAGATATTTCAAAATATTCATTTAATGGAAATCCATATTCAATTTAAGGAGCATAATCAGATATAACTCCTGGCAATTTTTAAATTACAGAAACACAACCTGATTTAATTATAAATAATTTATTAGGAATAGTCTCTGCTTTCAATAATATTGTTTAATGTTTATGTCTACTTTATATACATTTTGTACTTAAACTTACCATTATCTTATTACTAAATCCTTAAAATATTTCTAATTTCTCTAAAAACATTTTAGTTTCTTTAACTCTTTCTGTTTACATATGATCAGCTAACATAAATTATTAAAATGCTTCATTTTCTAATATGATTAAGTCCGTTATTTCATTAGTTATTATTGTAGCAGTTCTTTTTAAATTAAATTATAATGCCATCTCTCCAAAGAATTCTCCCTTTTTTAATTAAGCTACCTCTTTCTTTATCATAACATCTTTTAAAGTTGTTGCTTAATCAATTAATACTCTAACACTCCCATTCAAAATAACATAAAACTTATCACCCTCATCTCCTTATTTAAATATACATGAATTTGGTTCAAATGTCTACATGTAAAGATGTTTACATAAATCAGTGAAGAATGGTCTATCCTTATAATTACTCAAAAAACCTATTTACTGATATTTAAACATAATATCATACTTTTGCAATTGATGCAATCTCTGCCAAAATGTTTGTATCTCTATATTCTTTTGGAATCTACAATAATTTCTTTAATTTCTCTGTCTGAAGAATAAATAACTAAACATTTGATGCCTCCTCTTCTTAAATCTTTATTTACTCTTTGCTCACAGATGCCATAGATTCTCGCCGTTTCCCTATATTTCGTATATTATTATAATTCATAAGTAATTTTATTCAAATTAATCCATCCTCTTTGCAGATATCTAATTACGTAATGATTCTATCTCTCTACGGAATAACTTCTTATGCTAAGGAGTTCGACAACCCTATCTCAATAAACTAATACATTTCTTATTACATTCTCTTACAATGTTCTCTAATATATCTATTAATCAGGAGCATCTATTAATTTATATCTTAATTCAGGTAATCTCATCCTTCTATCAAAACCACGACTGTTCTATTTATCATTTACTAAATTCTGAATTAACTACTTTTTGTACTCTCTCCACTATATATCCTCTATTTGCATCTAACATAGTGTCTCTCTCTCTGGATATTACTTTATATTTTCAACATACTTATTCAATCTCTCCATTTACACATATTGTTTTAAATCAAAACCATTCAAATTTAAAATTTCACTTCTTATTGATGTTATGTATGTATATTCACATTTACTATTTGTTATACAACTATAATCACCAAATACACATCCTTATTCCAATTCATCTATCTCATAATATTAACCACTCAATTCAATCTTTTTTAATACCTTAACTCTTCCACTTTTTATTATAAAAACATTTTTTGCTACATCTCCTTCTTTCAATAATATTGTTTATTATTGATGATTTAATCTTTTACATTTAGTACTTATTTAAGTAATTTCTTCAGAAGTAAAAATTTTAAATTGTTTAACTTTATTTAGGAAACGTCTAACATCCTTTAAATTCTTTGATTATAAATCAAAAGCATCTTAATCTTCCTAAATATATTTTTAAAACACATCTCTATCTAACATTATCAAATCACATTCTGATTCTGAAATCACTGTTGCTGTTCTTTATGATCCAAAAAATAATGCGATTTCTCCAAAACAATTTCCCTTTCCCAATACAGCAACTTCTCTCTTTTAAAAGTATCCTGGAAAAAGGGTTGGCTCATCTGCATATATTTTAACAACTCCACTCAAGATAACATAACAGCATGTTCCAGTATCTCCTTATTTGAAAATTGTTTTTCCTTATTGGAATGTCTTTACATACAAATTACGACACAAATCATTGTAATAAGGCTTCTCACGATATCGCGATAGAAATTTGACCCTCTAAGTAGAAATTAAATTTGGTTTTTTTTACAAACCTGCACTAAATTACAGATTTCTTTTATATGGCCATCTGTTCTTTCAATCGGTGGAATAGTAAGCAACACTTTAAGTTTTTGACTTTGTCTTAAGAAAATACTCATATCTGCTTGATTTTTTATCATCTCTTAAAGGTTTTGTATCACTGCTTTGTTCTCATTTTGTGGCTACATAAAAATTAATGATATAATATCCTATTTTTTACATTTACGATATGATTGCCTAGTTAGAGTTGATTAATTAAATCATTTGAGATATGTTATTATTTATATATTTATCAACAAGAGGAATCAATCATTTTAAATAGCTCTTTATCAAATACATTTTTAATTATTGAATAGAATCTTAATTCTTTTGGTAATATATTTCTTATTGAATTAACAAAAAAGTTCATTAGATCTATTTCAATAGCTAATGAATATAATTTCTATATAATTTCGATTATGAATTTTATTAAAAGGATCATTAACAGAAATAAATTAAATTGAATATCCTTGAGAACGAGGTATCACTTATTTAATGATATGCAGATTATAAGAATATTTACAATTTATGATATATATTATAAAAGGAGATACCTCTACTAATTTAGAATTAAATTATTGAATAGTTTATAAATTAATTATATAATTCATTTTATAATCTTACAGACTTTATTTAGAATTATATATCAATAAATTTATAATATCAAGATAAATAACAATATAGGTAATAAATAATTAAGTAATATATAATCAGGATAATACGATTGAGAATAATATATAAATGTATTATTTATTTACAAAAAAAATAATTAATTTAATTTTAATATGAGTTCATAGGATTTAAATGCAATTATTTAAGAACCAACGTCTTAGAATGAGAAGAAAAGTTTGATCAAAGAAAATGATTTTGAATCTAATCACAAAATTGAAATTAACAAGAAATTATCTGCCTATTTAGAAAAACATTGGAGAAATTAGAAAGAGAATTAGGAAAAGATTGAAAATCAACTATTAATTTTATATTAAATAAAAGAAGAAATATAAAATTTTTAAGAGATAATCTTAAATTCCATTTAAGTTTATGAATTAACAATAAAAAAGTATATTTTAATACTTGAGAATAATATTAAAAGTTAGGATATAAACGAAACAGATCCTGAAAAATCTATAAGTTTTTTAAAAGAAAAATTAAATAATGATTTATCACTATTCTCTACAAACAATATGATTGATAGCATTCAAACAAAAATTTATTAATTAGATAATATCTTGATTACTTAAAATGATTCAGATGAAATCAAATAATAAATTGCTTCAACTAAATAGAACAATCTATTCAATTATTAAGTCATTCCTAAAATCTCTTGTTGTTCTAATATAGTTATTAATTAAAGTTCAAAATTGATTATGATTGCATAAGTAGATTACTTAAGTGTTTATGAATTTAAGAATGAGTAGGTTTACGAAGTTTCTAAATTTTATTCAGGTCATGATGATTATATAACTAAAATATATTCAATGAAGCATCAAAACTAATTCTTAACATATAGTTTTGGATTTATTTAACTTTGGAAAAAAAATATTTATGGATATTGGAGTTGTTTTTAAGAATTGTCAAATATTAATTTAAATGAATGTTTGATAGTTAATGATGCAGAAGATTAAATTATCTTAAATTCAGATAATATTATTAGATTTTATGTAAAGTCTCAAATTTGGATATTATAATCTGAATTAAATGTACATACTGAATAAATATGTACGATGAGTTTGAATTCAGAAGAAAATAAATTAATTTCAAGTGGTTATGACAATTTCATTTGCATATTCGAAAAATAAGATAATAATTTATGGGTATTAAATTAAAAGATCTCCATATAAAATTGTGGTAAAGCATTATGTTTTATAACTGATAATATTTTTGCATTCTAGTCAAAAACGGGAAAAAGTATATAAATATATAGATTCAATAAATAATCACAATAATTTAACTATGAATCAGAAACTTTAGTAATTGGTAATTCTGACCAACAGGAAAAAATCTTAATTTATAATCCAGAAAAATAAATTTTGGTAAATAAAACTCACAATTACATTAATATAATACAGGTTAGAAAAAATGGTGAACTTCATGTTGGATAATCAATTAATTTTTATACAAATTAGATTGGTTGCACTTTAAGTCAGGATGGTGAGTACTTAATCACGTTGGACAATTTCACAAATGGAATTTAAATAAGAAAACATTTTTAGAGAAAAGATAATAATCATTAATGAGTTGTGTGAATAAGAAGAAATTGATTTCTATGTATTATTTATTACTTATAAACTTTTATAATATTATAATTATATAAGCCACTTAGTATTTATTATTATTTTGTACTCAAGTTATCTTTATCATCTTAAATCTCATAATATAAAGTATTAATTTTAAATGCAATTAATTTCATTTTAGAATATTTTTCAAAGAAATTTTTGATTTAGAACTTTGTACCAATTTACATTAATTAAAAATAAATCATCATCATCCATTCAAATTACTACCATTTTTTTATTAAAAGATTAAATTATATTTAATAAAAATCTAATCTACTTAATTAATAATTCTAAATATTATTAAATGAAATTCGTAGGGTTTATGTTAATCTCTAAGAATTAAATTCTATGTTAATTAGATTAATATATTATTGCAGTGATAAAATAATTTATAATTTAAAAGGCATTTAAAGGTAGGATTTTATAGACAAATAATACTAATAAGAAAGATACTCTAAGTTACAAACATTTAGGAATTTCCAAAAATATAGCTTTGTTTGGATTTATTTAAATAATCCTTTGTCTAGTTAATTTAAACTTAAAGGAATTTTTAATTGAAAAATTTTTATTTGTGAAAGTAAAAAATTTATAACCTCGTTTGAGTTTATCCACTAATTGGGTTAGTTTTTAGAATCATCTCATATTATGTTAATAAAATATGAATAATAATAATAATTCAGTATTAAAAAATGTGTTAAAAAAAGGTGAGATATAAGTTTTACATATAACTAATATTGTCTTTAGGTAATAGTTGTTTCTCCTAATTAAAAGAGCGTAAATATTATTCATTATAGAAGCATGAATTATGAATTCATTAAAATATTTTAGCTTTGATATCTTGAAACTACTAGAGCTTAAACATTTTTTTTTCTTCTTTTTTTGTATTATGTTGTTATCTTAAAGAAAATGATCTGTTCTTATAAAAATCCTATTTTTTAGGTTCTGTTTTTATTCTTTATAAATATATTTTTTCAATTTGTTCCTTTGCATTTGAAGCATATTAATATTGTATTACTTTATCTAATGGAGTTTAAGGTCTAAGAATAAATAAAAGCTTTTTATACTTATTTTTGACTCCATGAGTCATTAAGGATATATTAGAGTTTTAAACTCTATGATTTCTTCTCACAGAGGATTAGATTTCATTTCCATATTCTTAAGTAGCAAAGTTAATTTAAATAGGATCTCGTTTAATTTATTTTCCATATGTAAAATGATCATTTGGAAGATTTCTTGTATTAGGTTTTGGTTTTCCAATATCATCTTTAAGTAACAAAATGTTTTTGCTTTTTGGTATTAAAATAGGTAAAACAGTTGACATAATTAATA